CTTTGCCTCCCAACTCCCAAACACTCATAAAACTCAATACCATTTTGGGTGTCTACAGACTGGCGTGTAACTTCTGCTGATGCTATTTCTTTCTTTTTAGTGCAAAACAGAATACATGTAAAAGTGCTTGGTGAACTACTAATCATGATATCATACAGAGTGGCACATGCTTTCTTGGTCTGAGCTATACGGCAGCAATAATGGACTGACACTAACCTACTCTTGAGATCCAAAAGAGTCCAGCTGCTGATAAAACAACTTCCTACCAAGGCAGACAAGATTCACTTGTTTTTCCATCTCACTATTTATACCAATTCCTTTGTAAAAAAAAAAAAATGTAATAAAAATGTGCTGAACGATGTCTTCATGATGTTATTTTTCTCCTAATTCTGCCCTTTTTCTTCTGTTCTCTGGCTTAGCAAAGTCACAAAGCACACATTTCCCATACTATGGATTTGGAACTAATCATTAACCTTTTAAAGTTGAACAACAGACAGGCTTTCAAAAAGTAAAGGAAAAGAGGCTGAAGCAGAAGTTTCACTTGAGCCCAGGAGTTTGAGGTTGCAGTAAACCTATGATGACACCACTGCACTCTAGCAAGGGCAACACATAGCTCACTGCACCTCAACTCCTGAGAGCTCAAGCCATCTCCCAATCAGCCTCCAACTAGGAGAACTGGGACTATAGGCATGATGCCACCATTCCTAGCTATTTATTCTAGTTTGAGAGACAGGGTCTTGCTTATTGCTAGTGTTGTCTCCATCTGGCCTCAGCAATCATCTCCGCTCCAGGCCTCCCCAAAGTGCTAGGATTACAGGTGACGACTGTGCCTGGCCCAAGCTGACAAGTACATCCATGTTTTATAATTATTCAATAAGCCTCTTTGGCAAGCAGTGCTGAGTATAAATGTAGTATTGAACAATGGCTGCACTTGGAAATAAAACTTCTACAATGCTAATGCTCCGAATGTCCCTGCATGGATTTCCTAACAGAAGAGATTCGTTAGAAACGCAATATAAACACTGGAAATAAGAAGTATTACAGGGAAACATTAAAACAGTTGACGTAAGAGAACTCTGGCCCTTGGCCAGTATCAGTACAGACCTGCCATCGAATTTGTTGAAGTCAGATCTTTGCATTTATAGGTCAATATTATTCCTTCCTCTGCAAAGTAGTAGTAGATTTCTATACTATGTATTCTATGATAGATTAAGCAAAAAATGCCTATTGACTTGGTAGACAGGACCAAAAATCAGCTTGCAATGGTTTTGCTTGGATTTCATAGCAGTGAAGCTGAACTGCCATGTCTTAGTCTCTCCCAACAAATGCTCATTCATGGATTTAAGATTCGTTCATAGGCTAAGGCCATCTGCTTAAAAACTTACCTCCATGAGCTGCTCATCCAGTTTTACTTGTTCGTTTTCAAGCCTTCATTTTCCAAATGATTGTTTCTAATTCTCGTTCAGAGGATTCATCTGACTGATCTGTTAAAAAACAGAAATTCGCTAAAAAAAAACCCAAAACACAAAAAACCTGGTTGTGTTACTTGACAAATCTGCGTAGTCAGAAATCTCAACCCTGGGAAGAAAGCCAAAGTGATTCAGCCATGGAACAGACAAACAATGCAATTCAGTGCATGCTTCTATTAAGTAAGGTAGTTTTAAATCACCAGTCCTCACACAGAACAGATTCCTTAAGGCAGCAGCTGGCTTTTAAACTTGGATGCCACGGCCACTAGAAGAAATATATTTATCTTACAACATAGTACACACACCCACATGTAATGCACAGTCATAAGCACTTATCTGTGAAACAATTTATCCTTGCATGCATGTACTCTGATATTTCCTAGTATATTTATTAATAAAATGCTGCTTTTCACTAAATCAATAATGATCCTCTACTATGAATCTGCAATGGGAAAACACTGCCTCAAGGTAAAAGTTAATGGTTTAAAGTGAGAGTACATAAACCTGATTATATAACTCCTTTCTTATTTTTTTTAAGAGACAGGTCTTGCTCTCTCACCCAGGCTGGGGTACAGTGGCATGATAACAGCTCACTGTAGCCTCAACTCCTGCCTCAAGTGATGCATACACCATTACAAGCTGATTTTTTATTTGTAGAGATGGGATCTTGCTATGTTGCACAGGCTGGTCTTTAACTATTTGGTCTCAAGCACATCCTCTTGCTTTAGCCTCCCAAAGTTCTGAGATTACAGGTGTGAGCCACCGATGCCCAGCCCATTCACAATTTTAAGATGAAATTTGAGATTTATAGTATCCATTTCTGAAAATTCTTTACTACAGAAGAAATCTAATGAGCTAGAAATCCTATAAGTAGAACAATATGAACACTATTCTAGAAATGCTGATTTTGCCTTATCAAAAAGAGCTCAAGAGAGCAGCAGAATTGTTAAACAGAGTATAATCTTCCAGGTCCATTTAAAATGCATTCTTATTTAAACGCTATCCACAAGATGTTTCCCCTGGCCAACAGCTAGATGGAACCACTCTCTTCTAAAAGTTTACTTAACATACTGAAATTAATAGCATTTCGGCTTTAGAGCACAACCCGCCTTTTGTTGCAAATGTAATGGATAATAAAATTTTTTTTTTTTTTTTTTGAGACAGAGTCTCACTTGTTGTCAGGCTAGAGTGAGTGCCGGTGGCTAGCCTAGCTCACAGCAACCTCAAACTCTGGCTCGAGTGATCTTCTGCCTCAGCCTCCCGAGTAGCTGGACTACAGGCATGCGCCATCATGCTCGGCTAATTTTGTATATATATATATACAGTTGGCCAATTAATTTCTTTCTGTTTATAGTAGAGACGGGTCTCGCTCTTGTCAGCTGTGTTTTGAACTCCTGACCTTGAGCAATCCGCCGCCTCGGCCTCCAGAGCTAGGATTACAGGCGTGAGCCACAGCGCCGGCCTAAATTTTTAAAGTTGTTATGAAGTACTTTGACATGAATATTCCTAACAAAAGCAACATTGTTCATCTTCCAGATTTTTAAACAAACTATAGGAAGGTAATAGTGAAATTCTGAGTTTCACTTTAGAACAAGAAAGAGGAGAAAAAAAAATAAGTAACAACACACCCCTAGAATAACATTGGTCCAGAACTCTAACTTTTGGACGAAGTATAGAAAGCACACTAAGCTGCACTACAGAGCTCTGACCATTGGTAGCTAGCCTCTGAGATGACTCCCACTTCCTGGCATGCATCCTCTTGCATAGTTCCTTCCCACACTCGACCCAGCTAGTCTGTGTGACAAACAGAATACAGCACAAATGTTGGTATGTCCCTTCTGAGGTTTGCTATTAAAGGCACCACAGCTCGTGTCTTGATCTTTTGGGGAAGCTCGCTGCCACATTCTGCGAAAGGCCCAGGAGATGACGAGCTGAGGTCTCAGGCAATCAGCCAGCCAGTGTCAGAATCCTCTCGCTAACAGTTACATGATGAGCTTGGAAAGTGGATGCTCTCGTCCCAGTGAAGCCTTCGATAACCACAGCCCTGGCTAACATCTGGACTGCAATCTCACCAGAGCCTGAGTCAGACCACCCACTAAGTGGCTTCTGACTTCCTGACCCACAGATGAGGCGAAAAATGTTTGTTGTTTGAATTTGTTAAATAGCAATAAAAACATATAGACCTGTTAAGATGTTTCTCATATTTAGGCATATATATGTTTTGCTAATTACAAAGGCTTGTAATACTAATGAAGATGATTATCTTCTTTATGAAAGCTTAAAGTAAACTGTTCTTTTTCAACAATTATTCAAGCAGAAAGAAATATGATACTATGATACTGTTTGAGAAGAGTATAAAAGCATAAAGAGATATAAGAAGAAACACAGAAGATTACTCTAAAACTCACCTTTCTATTAGTAGGAGATTTCTTCTGAAACTGTTCACATCTCTCTTAAGCTCAGCTTTTCTTGCTCTGTGGTTTCACAGTACCTGATGAGTTTAGATGTTTTTGGTGTTTTGGAAGAAGGCTGGATTCCAGTTGACGAACCTAACAAGAACAAAGAAAAGAGGATGCTAATACAATCGGCCATCCAAGAAAATAAGGAATATAAGGAAAGTTTTAATTTGGCACTTGGGTCTGTTGTAAATTTTTAAGTTAAGCCTGCCAATTCTTGAACCCTTTTTTGGATTCAAAGATCCTTTCTAGGTAAATCTGGTTGGGTCTACAAACCCAATGCTGTAAGACAAGAGGGAAGAGGGACTTCTAGGTCACTAACTCTCCAGGCTCAACAGCGTGTGTAATCGCGTGCCAAGAAGACAGACATAGGAGTTCTAGGCATTTTGTTCTGATGTAAGCCTTACTTTTAGGAGTGAATGAGGTGACAGTCCCATCTATTCTGTATTGGACTGTTCACGCCCGAAAGAATGCATTTACATCAACTACGTTCCATGAGGACAGGACATCCCTGTCTTGTTCTCCACTGCAGCTTCTGTGATAGTTTCTAGCAAGAGTAGGTGTTCAAAAGGACACCTGGGACTCTTCAGAGAGCACCTAATCAAAGGAAGTGTTGAAGCATAGCTTAACTACCATTGGTTGACTACATAGCAGGTAAGAATTCAAGCATCAGTTGGTGGCGGAAAAAAATGCTGAGTCTTTTAAAAGGGAACCTTTCTCTTATAGAGAAATTAGATCCACAAGCTCTAAGTTTCGCCTTTTTGTACTACTAGTCTTGGTGGCCACAATTTGAATGAAGAACTATATGGTTAGCATAATTTCATGAGTCTATATGAGGATTAAAATCCACAAATATTTAATATTAGAATGTTCTTACAAAGTGAAAAATATTTTATAAACATCAATATAAAATTATATGCAAGTAAATGATAAATTATACATCTTAAAATAAGTCTGCCATAGCAGGATACTCAAACTCATACTCTAGAATCATTTCAATCATATCAAGCATTGATTTTCATATCAAACTAGTCATTTTCAATCATATGCCACCATATGCAACTTCTCAAGTTACCTTCTCCCGGGAATGTGTGAGTTCTGCTTTGGTGTTCTGTACCACGGTTTGAAGTCTCTCGTTCTCTTTGCAAAGCAGCTGCTGTTCTTCATTCATCAGATGATCCAACTTGTCCCAAGAAAGCCTTTTCTGCTGGTTATGGAACCCTGATGGATGGGTGGCTATTTCTGGGGCCCAGTTCTTAAGAGAGAATTGCAGAGTTAAGTAAGCCTAACAATAAGCCGATGGGTAATTTCTGGTTTGAGAAAGGTATCATATTTACCTAACGATGACAATTTTCAGTAAGTACCTTTAAACCTTCACCTTTGTCTTCTAATGAAAGTGAGTGTATGTATATACAAATATGAATATGAACTCCAGGAATATTGGAGGTTGATTTAAAAAAAGTTTCAAAATTCTATGTTTACCATGGTTTTTGGCAAAATAGCCTCATCAAGTCTGGTAACAAATACGATTGTAGGGCAAGTCCCAGGTCCATATAGGACCCAAGTGCATAGAGCTTGGTGGCTGAACAATTGCCTGGGCAACATGGTGAGATTTTGGTCTCAAAACTCACAAAATCTTACCCTTTGTTTCTGGTGGGGAAAAAAATGTTATCGTCAAGCCCAGAAAATACTCCTTTGACAAATAGAGAACACGAAGGGAACTCTGAGATGCACTGCCAACGCGAAAGCTTTCCCTAGCTAAACTCTACTTCCATTTGCACATATGCAATCATATCCATTTTTAGAACCCAAAGCACATATTGTCTGTACAATTAAGGCCTGAATTTGGGAATATGCTTTAAGCTATCAAAGTGATTTCTTGGATCTTGATGATGATTTAAAAAAATTAAAGTAACAGCAAGATAAATCTTCTGCCTTTCAAGCTAAATATGAAAAAGAAAAAAGGTACAATCTCTTTTTGAGAAAAATGTCAGCCCAGAAGTAACTTTTAAAATGGAAACAATCTTATTTTCTTTTAAAAAGTGTTACCAAGAGATAAAATAAAAGAATTAGTGCCTACTTTTATTGTAGGACAAAATCTTAACATCTAGCCTAAGACTAACATCCCTAACATTGTTCTTAATTTACTTGCACACAGATTAAGCAGCATCGTAATAAAAGGAGACACTTTCTACAGCTCCATCATAACATGTCAGCCAGCTAACACTTTAACCAGCTCCGCCTGGACTTTCTGGCATCACAGTAGCAACCTGTTTGGTAGCAATGAATTCTCTCCTGAAATTCAGTACTATGGTTTTAAACCATAGTTTTCCTTTTCAGCAGAAGTTTTACTTTTTTTGCAGCCTGTGTATGTTCCTAGATAAATTTCTTGTAATATTTTTCTTGACTTAATTTTTTTAGGGTCACATGAATGCCATCAATTAACTAAGAAAACTTTTGAGTCATTACTACAAAACTCAACTTAGCCACGGTCTTCTGACTTGCTCAATATAAAAACAAAGTACCTGTTTTGTATCATTATGGTTCCATTTATATGAAGTCCAGAAACAAGCACCCCTAACTTATAGTGACAGAGGGTACTAATGTGGTTCCCCTGGGGTTAACAACTGGAGGGAACACAAGAGAGCCAGCTGAGTGCTGGAGATGTTCTATATTTTGATCTAAGTGATGGTTACACAAACATACACACAGATATGTAAACTATATATATTTATGTGTACGTACATATACACATAGAAGTAATCAAGTTATAGACTTAAAATTTGTGTGCTTTACTGTAAACAACTTACACCTTAATAAAGAAAGAAATTACCTTGTCACCAGCATTCTGAAGTTTCTTATGTAAAGACATCACTTCTTGTTTTAAAGCCTCCTTTTCCTGCTGAGTCACTCGTAGGTCAGATTTAATCTGGAACATTTGTAGGTTTACCTTCTGCAGGGTATCTTCTAAATTCTGAACCTGTATCATGAGAACAATCTTAACCTCTACACACACCCTTGTGGTCTCACCTCCAGCAGGTCCAGGAATAAATGAACAAGGAGAAAAGAACTCCAAGGTCCCTTCTGTTTCTATTTCTATACCCAGCTTTCTTTTCAGTAGTTCTGTGGAAACCCAGGATATTATGTACATTTACAGGGTGCTAAACTTTATTTAGGACAATGACAAACTGTACCTGGAGCAAGGTATTGGTGATAATGTCAGCTGGTAGATTTACCAAGCGATCTCTTACAGAACCAATGAGTGCCAACTGGCATCATAAAAGAAGTTGTCGCTGAATTTTGTAGAAATTATGTTTTAGCCTGTGGTGTTGGATTATAAAAGGCCTCTTAATTGAAAACAAAAATATATACTTGTAGAATCCTACTGTACACTAATATCTCATAAATTTCAATTTAAAAATTTAAATTTATAAAAGGAACAATGATGATAGATCTTTAACTATAGTAGGGCTTGAACCTGCCTTAGAAGTCCTATTTCTAAATTAGGAATGAGTAATCATTTTTATATACTATTCTCACGCTTTCATAAGTAATCTCGTTAATGAACATTTGGGGAAATAGTATTTAAATGATTTTACCATACTATAAACACATGTTAAATGTTGGTCAAATTGTATCATTATGAGCCCTCTTAGGTCACTTCCACCTAAACATTCTTTCTACCAGGATTTCTTTTTTTTTTGAGACGGAGTCTCACTCTGCTGCCCAGGCTAGAGTGCCATGGTATCGGCCTATCTCACAGCAACCTCAAACTCCTGGGCTAAAGCGATCCTCCTGCTTCAGCCTCCCAAGTAGCTGGGACTATAAGCATGTGCCACCATGCCTGGCTAATTTTATATATATATATATATATACATACATATATATATATATATATATTTTTTTTTTTATTTTAGTTGTCCAGCTAATTTCTTTTTCTATTTTTAGTAGACACAGGGTTTTGCTCAGGCTGGTCTCGAACTCCTGAGCTCAAATGATCCGCCCGCCTTGGCCTCCCAGAGTGCTAGGATTATAGGGGTGAGCCACCGTGCCTCATTTCTGTTAGAAGACACAGGAGAATATTAACTGTGAAGATGAAACTAGAATTGTTCACATACCTTTTCCTGTGACGCCACCAGCTGTGACTTTAAGCTCTCACTTTGGTGTTCCCAAGACTTCTGTTCCTGCTTCATTGTAGCAATTCTGTGCTCCAAAAGACTTGATTTTGCCAACTGTTTCAGGAAGAGAAAAGAGGTAAAAGGGCATTTTTGCAAACAAATCTAGCCTTAATTTATATGCCTCCACTTATATTGTCAAGAACAAGTATCATCTAATTATGTGGTAGAACAGGACAAGGTAAAAAAAAAAAAATAAAATAAAAAGGAAGTACTTTTATGGACTCCTTGTTCTACCTCTATTTTTCTTTTTTGGGATTTCCCATTTTTTTTTTTTCTCACTGCCTCATATTTTGAGGGTGGGAGATGGCAGGCTGGAAGGCAGTTAGAAATCTCAAGAGCGTACCAGAGTACGAAAATATGAAATACCCATTAAGGCAGTGTTTTTGAATCTAGAGATAAAATAGAATAAAGAGTGTCTGTCTATGAAATAGATCTCAGATTATTAAAAATATTTATATTATATACAACAAACCATTGATATATGTAAATAATTATATTAAGTAGCATTGTGATATATTAAAATGAGACAAGTTTTATGTTGTATTTAATAATAATAAACAACTAATTTAGACACTGTCACAATCGTGGCTTCAGGAGATCTAGGGTCACATAATGCCTGTGGCAATGCTGTTCCAGGAGACTTTGCAATAACGGAGGCCCACGAGCCACTGTCTAGAGAGAAATGCTCATCATATGTGCATTATACAATGATGGTAAAGTCTTTTATTTTTATTACCTTATCCACACAGCTATTTAATTCCTCACTTAGAGCTTCCTTTTCTTTCAGCAATTTTTCATTGTAGCTTAGAACACTAGAAATTTTGTGCTGGAAGTCAGAGAGATCAGGACATCTGTGCAGCTGTAAGAGATAAACAAAGGAGCCCTGCCGTCACATCTTACGGCTGTGCGCATAAAGCAGTATTTATAAACAGAGCATTCGTGACGGCTGATATTTGTTTATCTGTAGATATTTCAGAGGACATACAAACTCTAGCAGACTATAATAAACTTTAACAAAATGTTCTCTGCTGGGTTCTCTCTGCTCCCCAACTGACTGCTGAAATATCTGCTCAGGCTCAATTGTTAAGTAATCATTGTTAAGTAATCATCCTAGCCCCCCAGTTTACCTTCAGGGTAAAATGACATACTGCCATTCTGTCACCAATTTAACTTGTACGCTTGTAGCTTCTGACATTTTTCTCATGCTTTTTTAGCTAGAAAAGTATTTTAGTCTCAGTTAAGACTTCCGAGTTGGCATGTGCCACATACAAGGTAACAACACAAGGGCAAGTTTAAAGATAAAACTATTACTTTTTCAGCTTGTTCCATGTGCTCTTCCCTTCAGAAGAGGCCTACGTTGACTTCCAGTAAGATGCTGCTGGTGTGGACACACACTGGCTGCTCCCTCTCTACTTTTTTTTTTTTTTGAGACAGTCTCTCGCTTTGTTGCCCAGGCTAGAGTGAGTGCCGTGGAACAATATATATTTTTAAACTGAAGTGGTTAGGATTCATTGGTAGCAATAGAATTTTAGAGTCTATAACATATATGTTACATATCTAGAAGAATTAGCAATAAGACCTTACAAATCAACTTCAAGTCTTCAACTTGACCAAGCAGTAAGCTAGTGGACAGGACTCAGTACAGAGGAAATTTGGTGGCTACAAACACCAGACCCTCAGTGACATACTGTTTTGTGAACCCCCCAAGCTGCACACAGACTTACTTGTTTCATTTTCTCCAGTTCATCTTTGAGAAGGAGGTTTTCCTGTTCCACAATATGGGTTTGTATTTTAACTTCAGAAAGTTCCGCCTCCAGAGAAGACACTAAAGCGGAGGACTAAGAGAAAAATTACAAAGTCAAATAACAGCAAATGCATTTAGGCTGGGGAACCTTACAAGGTCCACAAAAGGTGATATTAAGGAAACAATAATAGAAATTCAATGATGTACTGTTTTATGACCATTTTTCCTTACACTCAACAGAACAAAAGCAATCTTTTAAAAAGACTTTCCATTTAAATACATGGCATGAATATGATTTCTGAGGTAGTTTTTGCATGTTTCTCCAATGCAAAGTTATCTTTCTCTTGGGGAAGACACTTTGAAACTATGCAAATCCTGTCTCTCCTCAGACTTCTGCTTATTAATTTTAGTATCTATCAATGCATTCTGTTTACAACTTATTACTAGCGTGTTTCCCTTACAATGATTTTTTTTTTAATTTCCATATTTCTTTCTACATTAATTGGAATTCTACTGTAAGAAAGAGCTGTTGTTTCTCCATTTATTTAATCAATTATTTATATCAACATACACTCATAGATATTTATTATGTATTTGTTTTATAATTACACTTATTTTATTCTATACCATTATCTATTTTGTTGATCAAATTGTTCCAACTTTGGCTATTAGGAGCTCCTTCAGGTTGGGGCCCTGTATCCTTTTGACATGTCCCATCTTTTTTCTTTGAGCACATTTTTCCTTTTAGCATCATGAGATGTTCCAAGCTCATCTTGTATTTTCTCTGCCCGGAATTAATCATTTTTCCAAGGAGCCCTGGTTCCTTTTATAGAAAAATGGTGTATAGAAACCAAGATCAAGACATTAAATGCATATACACACATCTGTATTTCTGTATCTATCTAGCTGTGTGTGTATATACATATACCATAAGTTTAAACTAATATTTCAGATCCCAACCCAACATCAGAGCATTCATCTTAGCATTCCCTACTTCCCACTTGCAACTTCCTTCTCCACTGATGAGAAATGCCAGTTCTTATCGTCTACCCTATATTTACTTATTTGTTCTAGGATACACAAAGTAATTTCAGAATTACTAACCCACACCGCTACGAGAATCACATTTACTGAATAGATTATTAAAGCATTTATATACAGTTCATTTTCTCTTCAGACTGGATACTAATTTTCTAAGTACTTCATTCTTTCTTCCGCAGTGTGGTTGATTAGCCATTTATAATACAGTCAGGTTCATATGTTTGTGCTCCATTTCTCACCACACTGAGTGGTTTTACTTGTGCACTTATTCTGGGGGTATAGGAAAAATATGTGAAACATGACTATGGTTCTAAGAGTCAGAGCTATACAAAAGATAAACTCTGAATAGTGTCATTCCCTTCCTCATCCCTTTTACTACTTTCCCGTGTCATATTTTTTACTCTTGCCCTCATTAGTTCCTGGTTTTTATCATTCTTGTGTTTCTTTTGCACAAATGGATAGACACATGTGTACTTTCTAATGTCCCCTCTGGCATGCACAGAGGCATACTATAGCTACTCTTTTGAGCTTTCTTTTTTTACTTAAATAGTATATCCTGGAAAAAAAAGTATATCCTGGAGATCATTTCATATAAATAGGGACTTTTTTTAAACAGCTACATAGTACCACTTCACAGTGTGCGGTACCCACTGCATTTATTCACCCACTCTCCTATGCATGAGCACTAGGTTGTTTCCACTATTTCGCAATTACAAAGAATGCTTTGGTGAGTAACCCTGTGTATATGAATTTTCATGCTGTTGGAAGCACATCTTTAGGGTAGATTCTTACAAGTGTGATTGCTGGCCCAAAAGGTAAGTACATATGGAATTTTGTTAGGTATTGTCAAATTTACCTCCACAAAGATAGTATCAGTTTGCATCTCCCCAGCAATGTATGAAAGTGTTTCCTCACAGCCTTGCCAACAGAATATGTTCATATTTTTAAATTGTTGCCAGTCTTAGAGGTAACAAATTATATATCGGTGTTGTTTTAATTTGCATTTCTCTAATCATGAGTGATTCTGAACATTTTTTCCATAGGTTTGAAGACCATTTTTATTGATGAATTATTTGTTCATATGTTTTTCCCATATTGCTATATAGTAGGGATATTAGCCCTTATCTCTGTGGTATATAGTGTAAATATTTTCTCCTAGTTTTTCCATTGTCTTTTGACTTTGTTCATGGTATCTTTTTGCCATGTAAAGTTCTTTCAAAATATAATCAATTTTGTCTTTTATTGCCTCTGGTTTTTGAGTCATAGACACCCTTCTTTTACACAACAGTTACAGACAAATTAACCCATGTTTTCTTCTAGTACTTCTATAGTTTTATTTTTTATATTTAGACTCCTAATCCAATTGAAGCTTATCCTTGTGTATATTAGGAAATGTGGATCTAATTTTATCTATTTCCAAATGTCTACCTAGTTATCCAGGCACCATTTATTAAAAAGTCCATCTTTACCCCACTGGGTTGAGAAGCCACTTTTATTATGTACTAAGTCTCCATTTGTATTTGGGTCTAATTCTAGACTTTCTATTCCACTATTTGTCTATTTACATGCTAGTGTCAATGCCATACTGTTTTAATTATTAAGGCTTTATATATAAGAAATTTCACACAAGCTTTTCTTCTATTTCTTGGGATTTCCCCCCAGAAAAGCTATAGGGTGGCTACAGACCATACCTGGACTTTACAGTGTTCCAGTTCTTCTTTCAAATGAGATTGTTGTTCTTCCCATTCCTTCAATATACTATTTCCTGGCCCCTCTTCCTTCTGGCATAGCATTTCTGTCAGACGTTGATTAAGTTCTTGCAATTCTTCCTGATTTTGAGAGTTCTTTTGGCTAAGTTCTGTATTTTCTAAATCCAACTGTTGGTTTTTGATTTTTAATTCTGAAATCTAATTAAAATTGAAATAAGTTTTAAAAACTTGTTACCCTACTTGTGATAAAAATAGATTTAGAGATATAATTGTTTTTACTCTCTCTATATAGACAATAAGTTTTAAAAATATGTTTTCATAACAAATACTACATACTCATTATTACAAACTCAGGCAATTCAGAAGTGGATGAAGAACTGAGACATTCAGTTTAATTCCACTCCACAGAGGGCCACAGCTGGATATGTATCCCTCCAGGTCTTTTTCTATGCATGTACAAAACCCATATACACAGAGATTCTTTTTTTCTTTTTAGCAAAAAATTGGATCATTTTTGAACAGCCTGCTTTTTTTCACTTATAACATCTTACTCTTATCTTTCCAAGTCAGTGTGTTCAGAAACCACCATATGCTCTATTTTTTAGTGGATGTAGATATTCCATAATGCATTTATCCATTCCCACATTGATAGACATATAGGTTATTTTTTTAAACCATTTTATCTTTTAATTAGGAAGAAAATGATCTTCTGGAAAATCCATTTACATATGGTAGCATTTTGTATATAGAATTTTTTTCTTTTAGAAATAGGGTTGCTGGGTTAGAAGGTCTGTGCATATATTACCATTCTTATAGATATCCCCAAATGTCTTCCTCATAGTGCTACCATCTTACAATCCCATCAATAATGTATGAATATACTCGTTTCCTCACACCCTTTTTAATACTTGATGGTATCAATCTTTACTTTTTGCTAGTTCAATAGGTGAAAAAAAAAAAAGGAAACTCATTTAATTTGTAGTTCCCTAATCACTACTGAGGCTAACCTCATTGTATATGTTGTATTCTTTTTTTTCCTGTGACTTGAACATTCACATCAATTGCCTATTTTTCAACTGGCTTTTGCCATTTATTTCTAAGAGTTTGAAATATATTTTGGATGTTAACGCCTTGTCTATTCCAAGTACCAAAAATACTCTCTCTCGGTAGTATGTCCTTGTCTTTGGATTGTTTCAGATAGATTCTAAAATGGCCTTCCCTTTTTACAACTGCATGTTGTAAGACTATGCAAATTGAGCATTGAATGGTACAAGCTATCTGAATAAATCATAATTCTGTGAAATATGCTGATTAACTGACATTTTGTAGCTGTGAAATTCTGTCCTTAACTTTCTCCTTTCAATAATGGTGAGGAAACTGGGAGGGCTAACATTAACTGGAACTACACAAGGGCTAGAGCTAGTATTTTATAGGTATGATTTTAGAGGTAACGCCTCATTATCCCCACGGATTATAAAGCTTATATGAAAAACTTAGAGTCCAAATGTTTATGGCAGGATAATTCACAATTGCAAAGATGGAAAACAACCCAAGTGCCCATCAATACATGAGTGGATTAATAAAATGTGGTATACGTATACCATAGAATACTACTCAACCATAAAAAACAATGCTGAACTAGCACCTCTTATTATTATCCTGGGTAGAGCTAGAGCCCATCCTTCAAAAGTAAAGTATCACAAGAATGGAAAAACAAGCACTACATGTACTCGCCATCAAATTGGTACTAACTGATCAAGACTTAGGTGCTCACATGGAAGTAATATTCGTCGGGTGCTGGGTGAGTGGGAGGCAGGTGGTGGGGATGGGTACATTCATAACAAATGGATGCGGAGCATACGTAAGGGGGATGGGCACGCTTGTAGCTCTGGCTTGGGTGATACGAGAGCATTATATGTAACCAAAATGCTTGTACCCCCATAATATTCTGAAATTAAAAAAGAAAATAAATCAGGGAAAAAAAGGAAAGCCTGTCATTTTAACAACATTTATCGAATGACTCATCTTTCTGTAATGATTAAAATGTTCCTTCGGCATAAAAATAAATAAATAAAAATAAATCCTAATTACTAAAATCCTGAGGTTAGGGGGCAGAATTTAGCATCTAGAATAATACATTATTTTGCAAAAAACAAGAACCTACTTTAGATTCAGAATGAGGTGAGTTTCCATTTTCAGGCTCAGCATTTACAACCTCATCATCATTAGCTACATGTTATTCTAGTAGCTAGCATATGCTATAAATTTATAAATTTCAAGTAAAAAAAGAAAATTTCAGACTAAATAAATACTGGGAAATATTAAGTATTTTCTTACTTGTTTCTTTAAATTTTCAACCATCTTCTGAACTGCAGCTTTTTCCTGTTTCACAGTTTCTATTTTTTGCCTAAAGAAATGATGAAAATAAAATTGAAGAGTTAGGCTTTAAAAGTTGAAGTAAAATAGTTTTAGTCCTTGCAAAACTGTCTTAAGAAAATTTAAGTATATGTCTTACCACATTTCTTCCTGAGATCCATTTAATTTCCCTAATTTCAGGTTAGAAATGCTATCTTCTTCATTTAAAGTAGTAATTTCATTTCTCAAAATAGAATTTTCCTCTTGAAGCTTTTCAGATTCATATCTGAAGCACAGAGATTTAAAAAAAAAATGGTTACAACAAGGCAGTCATCTGGCATCTTTGGAAAATATTTTCTAGTAACTTCCAATAAGACGAGTATTCCATGCCAGTGAAAAAGAGAAGTCTAAATTAGTAGTCTCTTAGTACTTGGAAATCAAATTATGACATATTGACGAATTTCTTTTGGGAAGTAAGAATTTCACTAAAAGACGTTAGGGAAGTGTAGCTAAAAAACTTGAGCAGGGCAACAGGAGTCGAGACGCAATGCCCACTCTGGCTGTTGATTTCCCAATGGCAAGTACACTGCTTTGAGAAATGACTTCATTTATCTCAGTCTCAAGTCCTACCTGCTCTGAATGGACACAAGCCACATTACTAAGCTGTATCAGTTTTAGGCCCCTCAGTACCAGGCAAAAGAAAATTCACTACATAAATCAATGGGCCACACTGAAATATGAACACTAATGTCTACTTTGTGATTTTATTCATCTCATTATATCCTGATTTTTAGAACTAAAAATGGTCTGAAGTGAGAAGAGGAAAAATTACATCCAGAATTAAATAATTTTGTTTTGTATCATTAAGATATTTCAGACAGGATATTTTACACGTTTTTGAAAAACCAAATTTGCAATCATATTTTATAAAGTCAAGTGAGCAGTGGTTTAAATTAGTTCCACTTTTGTCTTTATTCTCCAAGCATATTTATTAGAATCTGGTAGCTTCTCAATAAATTTATATGTTCCAAGATAAATTTCCATTGTCTATAGGCTAGCAGCATGCACTTCAAGAGATTTAAGTGTAAAACTATAAGCCACAAAACATTTTTTCTATATTAGTATAAGAAGATATTTTTTATCTACCAAGTGAATTAATAATATACAAAAGGCATTCATTCTCATATAACATGTTTCATCAAAATGAGAAAAGTAACATTTAGCAAAAAAAAAAAAAAAATAAAAAATCTATCCATCCAAATGAAGTGCTAGGAAAAAGTTAAAGATGTACAGCAATAATGCAAATACTCGCCATTGTGAACTTTCGCACCCCATATGAACAACATGTATTTGCTACAGAGGAAGGGAATGCTTCCTATGCAAGGTTATTTTATTTGTTAATGACACAGAAGCAGAAGGAAGTCTAGAGTACTGCTCTCTTCTGGAAGACTAATAGGTTAGTTTCTCTAGGCACAGCAAGCAGCGGAAGTTAGCTTTGGTGTGAGGTGCTCTGTGGGATTCACGGAGTCTAGAAGGTACATACATTACCTCAGAAGTTCAACTGTTTGCTGCATCTCACTGCATGTGATCTGCAGGTCATGCATGTTTGCCTTCAGCTCTTCCTCCTCCTCTCCTTGAGAAGGAGTATCTTTTTGCTTAACTAACGTAGTGACTCTTTCCCTCAACTTTCTAGTCAGCTCCTGTAGCTTTTTCTTCTCCAGTTCTAACTCTGCTATCGTGGCCTGGCGCTGAAAATGTTTCTCTTGAATGCCTCGCAGAGAAGTGGTTTCCTCCAGTACGACTTGATTCTGTACTCTTGGCTTTTCTGGATGTGTCTGAATTGTTCCATGTAACCAGGCAATTTCATGTGCTTTTCCATTTTCCAAGAGCCCTGTATTCCCCTGCTCAAGGTAGCGCTTTCCTTGTTCACACTCTTCTGTAATGTGGTGTACACTCACAACCTTGGGCGCACACTCTCCCAGTGTCTGACTGGGTTCAAGTATCTTTTCACGAGGTTCCACTTCCAGGTTATCTAAACGAGCTTCCCACAAGGAGAAGCAGTCACATTGTCGGGCTGCTCTTTCCTGCAGCTTCTCGATCTTTCTCTGCAGTCTCAAAACCAGAACATTCAGCTCCTCGTTTTCTGTTTTGACCTCATCGTAACTCTTTTCCAGGCTCAGGAATGTTTCTGTCACTTCCTCCACTTTCTTCAGCTCATCCTGCAGCCTGAAAACGTCTGCGGTGAGCTCTTTGTTGTGCTCCAGTGCCTCCTCGTAGCGTGTCTCCAGCATCCTCAGCTCTTCCTGGAGGCAGTCGTTTTCTCTACTAGCGTCTTCATATAGCAACTTATACTTGGGAGAAGCCTCAGGGATCCTCTCAAGCATCTTTAGCTTCTTTTTTAGCACAGACACGTCAAAAAGCAGATCCTGTTTCTTTTCGGAAGCTCGATCGCAATCTTTGCGTAAGATCGTTAGTTGTTCCTGGAGATGACTAACCTGATTCTTCAGGTCCCAGCTTTCGGTCCTGGTCTCTTCACTGTTTTCAAGCTCAGAAAAACTCTCTATTGAAGCCTCTGACCCCTCTATTCTGACCTCTTGGCTGTGAGCAGAGCTCGTCCCCGTACTTCTCAGGTCCTGGACCTCACTGTCTTGCAGGTCACTTAGACTATGCCTTGTGGTCGCACCTTTTACTTGTTTCATTTGGTTTTGCAGTAACAACGGCTCTGTTTGTTTTGCAGAATTCCCAAAAAACTCAGCAGTTGGCTCATCTAAACAAGAAGAAATCACCGACCCAGGCTCTAATATTTGCAGCCTTTGTCGCAATCTAGCAATTTCTGTAGCCATTTTCACATTTTCCTTCACTGCTTGTTCATGAGCTCTCTGCAGGCTTAAGAGGACATCTCCATTTTCTTCCAATAGCTGCTCCCCTTGCTGAAGCAGGGACATGGCTCCATTTCCTTCCACGTCCTCCCCTTCCACCACCTGGCAGCCACTCTGAAGTCTGGAGAGAGGAGATGCCACCTGCTGCATTTCCTTGATTATATTCTGAAGCCTGGAGATTTCTGTGCTCATCTCAGCCCTCTCTCGATCTGCCTTCTCACAGGTCACTTTGTGGACATGCTCCACGGCCAGAAGCTTGGACATCATTTCCTGCCTTTCCTGGTCACGTTCCATTTCAAGCCTTTCAAGCCGCTGGCTGGCCAGCTGCTCGGAGGCCCCTGCCTGGCAGACGACCTGCTCACGGCCCCTCAGTCCTCTTTCGTGACTGCTCTCCAGCTCAAGTATCTGGCCAGACAGCAGGCTTTGCTGGCTTTCGGACACATTTCTTAGATCTTCCAGGTCTTGCAGCAGCTGCTCTCTCTCGACGACCATGCTGTTCAAATGTTCTTTGTAAGTTTTCTCTAGCATCTCTCTCTCCTGGGTCAGGACCAGAGAAGTTGCTTTCTCTCTCTGAAGAGTCTCTTTAAGCTGCTCCCGGGCTTCTGCACACTCCTGGGTGAGCTCGTCCTTCTCAAACTCCCACTGGGATTTCTCCTCGTGCTGCTGTTCCATAAGGTCCTCCAGCTCTTGGCGGTAGCGCCCCTCTAGGCTTTGCAGAGCACTTTCACATTTCTCAGTGACTTTCTGACAGTCAGCCTGAAACTGGGCTTCTATTTGAGAGGTTCTTCTATTACATTCTGTTTCCATTTTTTCCCTAAACGTAGTCAACATACAGCATTACTGAAACTGCCACCAACTTTGTTAGCAAACAAAAAACATTTTTCTGTGCATAAAGGAGGCTGCTAAGCAAACAACTGAAATACTTTCTCAAAGTGGTCGCAACTTATTCCTATATGATGCATTTGTACTGGAAAGGAATCTCATTTCTGAGAGCTCAGACAAGCAGCCAAATTGATTTAAAGGATTTACCTTTCTCTATAGTCAGAGGGAAATTTTAGAAACCAAATTCTTTGGCATATTTTCCTGGATGTCTCTGTTTATGGATTTTAAACCAAAGACTTAAACTGGTATTTCACAATAAATGATCAAATGCATATTAACCTAACCCCTAACTTGAGGAATATATAACATTCCTTCATTTTATTTAAGCATGCTTTACAGGATATCAGGCACATAAACCACACATATTGACCACACATTCATTCTGCTCTTGCTTCTTATTTAATAAAAGAGCACCAAGTTGATCAGGGTGTGAAGTACCAAGGCCTTCAAATGCACCTGGGATTTCACACGAGGAAGGCGAGCACAAGGTGCTGTTTTATAGCACTGGGAGGAAATGTAACTTTGCTCAGAATCCAGCTTCTTAATAGCTGTTCTCAGAAAGCAACAGGATTGAACCAGGAAAGAACCACATTTGAGATCATCTTATCCTGACCTAGAGTTTTATGAGGTACAATCAATCTTAGTACAAAGAGTACTTTCCTCTTTTAAAACCAAAAACAGTTTCAATAACCCTAAGGTAGGCTTATGTCAAAACAATGGCAAAACCGGTCAAAAATTTTTAAAAGAATCTAAATCAATGGGCTACTATTCCATCTGGTTTTTCCCAGTCTCCTTAACTGACTGGAACTTCTGATGCCCTGAGAGACAGTGCCCCAGGCTGCTCCATTGCCCCCAACTTTCTTACCTTCCCTCTTGAAGTTCCCTTTGGTGCTTTTCCAAGAGCTCTTTTCTCAACTCCTCTTTCTCAAGAGTGTGCTTCTCCACCAGGCTCGCCAGCTGCTCCCGGTGAAATCGCTCTAGTTCCTGAGTCAAACCCTGCACCTTCTCATCTGTCCAGGTGCTACTTTGAAGGAGTCCCTCCCTCTCCCGCTCAAAGCCTTCCTCCGCCTGTGCCAGTCTAACCTTGAGCTCTTTCTCATGTTCTAGCCTCAGCTTCTCCTGCAGGTGAGTCTTTTCTTCCTCCAACTGCATCTGCAGCTGTTTTTTCTCCTCCTCGAGCCTGCAGGTGGTCTCGTGGTGCTCCTCCTGGAGCACTACCGCCCGCCCCTGCAGTTCTGCAATTTCATGTTGAAGGTCACTTATTTGTTTTTCCAAGGTGCGTATTTCATTCTCATGCCTTTGCTTCATGTGCTCCCGCTCCTTTTCACAGGTGACCACAGTTTCATCCAGCTGCTTTTCGTAATGGCGCACCTGAAGTCAGAGAGGGACCCACCACAAGGTCATTCAACTCAGGCCATGGAAAGGGAAGTCACAGGGGCAGCAAATACCTTTTCTTTCCTATAAGACATTCCTCGATTTCTTCATTTTGTTTTAAAGCAACAATTCAAAAACACTTTAAGCAAGATATTTAAGGCAGGCATGGTTTGCTTTTCTTTTTTAACTGGTTGAATTTTATTAGTTTCTGAAGAATTCTACTAAGAACTGAGCAGACTCTCCAACATCCTTTCTAACTGCAAAGTCAGAGTCTTAAAATAGTGAATTAAATTCAAATATTTACTCAACACCTATCAGGTACTTGCAGGCCTCATGGGAACATAAAGCTGGGTGAGACATAGTCCCTGCCATCAAGTAGAAACCAGGCCAGAGGTGGATGTGACAGCTCCAACTACACTACAAAGCACAACATACAAGAGAAAAGGTACAGAAAAAGGAGCTACAATGTAACCCAGGGATTTAAAGGATAGAAAAATCACATTTGGTTGGTGAAATTCAGGAATGGCTTCATGCACGAGGTAGCAGCTGATATAAACTCTGAAGGGTAAGTAGACTTTCAAGAAGCAGAAAGAAATAATAACAGCATAGTCTGTAATAGTATGAGCAAAAGATGGACAACCAGGAACTACCCAGCGTGGCTGGAGCATATGATAACACAAACAAATGGGGAAAGAGAAGATTGGAAATGTGAGTTGAAGCCCCATGATGAAGGGTGTGGAGGCCAAGGTTCAGGGCTTGTACCTAATCCACTAGGTAATGTAACATCAAAGGGCTTTTTGGTTTTGTTAAAAATATATATATATTTTTAAACAAGTTGTAAATAATATAATGGATTTAAAGCTCTAAGTTCCATGCTTGCCAGGGCTGAAGGCAGTAAATTTTGGAGAAACTCTGTCTCAGAAGGAAAAGGCCTTACTCTCAGCCTATAAAATCATCCTGAGGAAGTGGAAGCCACGAGACATGAGAGGAAATGCATAGAAAATGCTGCTGTATGAGAAAAAGGAATTGGGAATGCCCTACATGCAAAAGGTTGTCAGGGCTCAAAGTAACCTGAGAACTGGATCGGTAGCAAGGACTTACTTTATCTTCCAGCTCCAGTCTGAGGGAACATAAGTCCCTGTGGTGTTGTTCTTTCATCTGTTCGATGACGAGCTCTGCCTCGATGCTCATGTTCAGTGGATTGCATTCTTCAGAACCAAGCCCTGAAACACACGGGACCCACTGATCTTGCAGCAGGTTCTTTCAATACATAATCTGGCAACTGAGGAGATACATCCAGTTCAACTAAGGAATAATCTTTAGCCTGAATTGCTACAGATGTGATCTACTAGGAAATAACAGAAGTCGAGAGAAGGAAATGGAGGTGAACAGATTCTTTCATGTATAGGCAGTATACCAAACCTCAACAGAATCCATCTTTTTGAACAGTAGGTGGGGGTAGGTATAAAAATAGTTGCTTAAATGTGACCTCATCTTAATGAAAATGCTGCAAGTTGAGGTAATACCAACCAGACTTCTAGCCACCAAAATATACAAATGACAAGTCTGCAGAGGAGCAATGTGACAGGGGAATGAATGGCCAGCACACTTGCCACTATGCCTTGATGAGTTCATTTCATGGGTCAAGATAACCAACCCATCACTGAACATTTCAGAAGACTGGCTATTGTCCTATGAATTTCCTGGAGTGTGGGTGGATCTCAAATCTTAAATTATCAGGTGAAATAAAAGTAGGGCATAGGTTGGGAACTGGATATAGGCAGTTTGGGGTGGGGGGTGGAATTCTCAGCTTATCTATGAGTAAACTCTGCAACTGCCCTGATGACTGAGGAGGACACTGAAATGTGAAGCAGAGGTTGGGGGCTGAGCCAGTACATAGACAAAAAGATTATGTCTCATACTATGTAGGAATCTCTTAAGGCAGGGGGACCCAAAATAGGTTTCCATGTGTGGATACACAGGCAGACGGGACAAAGAAACTCTTCTTGGATACAGGTCTAGCAGCTGGGATAGACGGTCTTGCTCTGGGCTTTCTCTTCCTACATTATGGCATATTCCCAACTGAGAGGTAACACGGGGGTGTAAGCCACCCCCCAGTACTGCAGCTTCATACACCCATGAGGAGCACCCTCAACACTTGGTCATCTATGTAAAAGCCTAGAAAAGCCTAGAAAAGCTGCTGAGATATATATTTTCAGATCCTGAGACTAAAGTGAGCCAGGAATCAGAGGAGAGGTTTTGAGTCCGCTTCCTCTCCCCTCCCCCATCCCTTACTCATTCTACAGCAAGTAGGTTAGGGGGAGCAGGGAGGCAGAATAAACCACCTTTGTGAGAACTGTACTCCTGTCCCAAGTAGCAGTCGGGAGAGCTATTTATAACAGAAAGGCCCACTATGAGCTCTTTCTGAAATTCAAACTCAACACACCCAAGAAAAGAGGCCGGCTATGAGGGAGGGAGGGAAAGAGCGGACAGTAAGCGTGGGAGGGCTCCCTAACAACTCTGCTGCCCAACTTTGCCCAAAATTTTCTTCAAAGGCACAGGCCACCAACCCTTATTTAACCTGTTTGTTGTTTTGCAGAGGCAATGCGGACATGGGGCGCAGCCCGCACACGCCAGCCAGTTACGGCTTCTGAGGTTGCTGGCCGGCCTGTTCTCCAAAACCAGCCTCATACCAGCCAGGCCCTCTCACAATGGGAGGACTCGGCAATCGCTTGGCGTCTGAATTCTAACACTCTGAAGGCCTGGATTCCCAGATTTGCAGCCAGATTTTTGTTTATTTTTTAAACAAAGCAAATACCCTTGTGGTTTGATTTTTCCATTCCTTTGTTGAGACATATCAAAATCAGATGGAAATATTCTCATAAAGACTCCAAGGACAAATGAAAAACCAGACCACAAATGAAATAACTCAAGAAAAAGAGTATTGCCAAAGTTTTTTTTTTTTTTTTTAAGGTTGCCAAATTTTGCAAATTTATATTCAACCAAGGTTCTAAAAACAAAAGTCGAAGGCTTTAACTAAAGCCTTTTCAGATGGCGTGTGAATGTGTTTACCCTGTTCAGCCTCAATGCCACCACTGCTAACATCAAGTTCTTCTGACAGTGAGTTCTTCAGAGGGAGCCTGAATACTTTGCCTTGTGCACGATATTCTTCCAGCTCAGACTGGAGTTCATCCACTTGGTCTTGTAATACCTGTAAACCAACACACATTTTAGATGTGACACCAAAAAGCACAAACAACAACAACAAAATAAATTGGACATCAAAAAAAAAAAAACTTTTGTGTTTCAAAGGACACCATCAAGAAAGCAAAAAGACAACCCACAGAATGGAAGAAAAGTTTTGCAAATTATGTATCTGATTGACTTGTAACTAGGATATATAAAGACTATTAGAACTCAATAATGAAAAGACAAAGAACTGAATTAAAAAATGGGCAAATGATCTGAGTAGATATTTCTGTAAAGAAGATATACAAATTGACCAGTAAGCACATGAAAAGATATTCAACATCATTAGCTATCAAGGACATGCAAATCGAAACCATGGTGAGGTACCACTTCACAGCCCTGAGGATGGCTAGAATCAAAAAGATATACAATAACGACTATTGGTGAAGATGTGGAGAAATTGGAATTCTCATACCAGTAAGAATGTATATAAAACAGTACAAACCACTTTGGAAGAAGTTTCATAGTTCCTCAAAAGATTACACATAGAGTTACTATATAACCCAGCAATTCTACTCCTAGATATTTATCCAAGAGAAATGAAAACATATGTCCATACAAAAACTTGCACACAGGCCAGGTATAGTGGCTCATTCCTGTAAATCCTAGCACTCTAGGAGGCCAAGGTGGGAGGACTGCTTAAGACCAGGAATTTGAGACCAGCCTGAGCAAAAATGAGACCCCGTTTCTACCCCAAAATAGGAAAAATTAGCCAGGTGTGGTGGTGTGCACCTGTAGTCCCAGCAACTCAGGAAGCTAAGGCAGGAGGATTGCTTGAGCCCAGGAGTTTGGGGTTGCTGTGAGCTATGACGACACCACTGCACTCTAGCCAGGGTGATAGAATGAGACTCTGTCTCAAACAAAACAAAAAACTTGCACACAAATTTTCATAGCAGCATTATTCAATAACCTCCAACCCCAAATGTCCATTAACTGATGAATAAATAAAATGTAGCATATTATTCAGCCATAAAAAGGAATGAAGTACTGATTAATGGTACAGCATGGATAAACTTAAAAACATGCTAAGTGAAGGAAGCCAGTCACAAAGGACCACATATATCATTCCATTCATACAAAATGCAAAGAATAGCCAAATCTGTAGAGACAGAAAGTAGATTAGTAGTTGCCTACGGCTGAGGAGCATAGGAGAGATTACGGTCAAGTGGAACAAGTGTTTCTTTTTGGGAAGATGAAAATGTTCTAAAATTGATTGTGGTGATGGTTGCACAATTCTGTGAATATAATAAAAGATTGAATTGTACACTTTAAATGGGTAAAATATATGGTATATACAAGCTGTTAAAAGAAGTGGATACCTAGCACTCTGGGAGGCCGAGGCGGGCGGATTGCTCAAGGTCAGGAGTTTGAAACCAGCCTGAGCAAGAGCAAGATCCCGTCTCTACTATAAATAGAAAATTAATTGGCCAACTAATATATATAGAAAAAATTAGCCGGGCATGGTGGCACATGCCTGTAGTCCCAGCTACTCGGGAGGCTGAGGCAGTAGGATTGCTTGAGCCCAGGAGTTTGAGGTTGCTGTGAGCTGGGCTGACGCCACGGCAAAAGTGAGACTCTGTCTCAAAAAAAAAAAAAAAAAGTGGATAAATTAGGGGAATTTTTGGAGGTAGAGTTGACAGATTTTACTGATGAATTCATTAATGTAAAGGCATTTAAAGTAAACACCTCTACTTGATTAGAACCAAGAGCTAAAACTTAATTATAAAAGCAGTAGAAATTTTTTTCCCCCAAATGTGCACATGTATTTCCAGAGAAGGCAACTTCATGATTGTTTTCCTCATCTCTGCATGATTAAAATTTTTATCTAAAGCAGTCAGAACACAGTTATACTTACCTTGTTAAAATAAAGGCATGTTTTTGGTTTAAGAAAAAAAAAAAACACCCAAATTCCTAAGCTTAGGGGAGTTAATGCTTTATTTCTTTTTAAATCAGATTCCTCTTATAATATTTACAAGAAAGTTTGTTTCTCTCCTGGTAAGAATTGGGAATGGTTTACTAGATAATGATTTTAGTGGTTCCTGCTTCATTTGCATTTTATAAATAAATACTATAAGAAATGTATCCAGAAAAAGGAAGAAAAAAATAAACACAAAACAAAACCAAATCACATCAGATTAGGTCTGCAATGATCAATCAGGAAAAGCTAATTTTGGAAGAAGTACATCAACATGACCACATATTCCTCCACTTGGAAAAAAAACATACTTTCCTCTAAATACTAGCAATTTCCAGCCTAGAGGAAGCATACTTAAATGCAGACTGCTTGATTCCCTATAGTTCAGGATACTGAATAGTAACATTAATAGGTAACAGTTGTGTAAGTGCTGATTATATCCCTAGCTCTGTTCTAAGAACTTCACCTATATTCACTCACTGCATCTTCACAACCCTGTGCAGTGGGCATTCTTATTTGTCATTTTATAGATGAGGAACTGAGGCACCCACGGATTAAGTGACTTGCTTATGGGTCACACGGCTCCAAATCCAGTGCTCCTCCTGTACTTACTCCATTCTCTTCGTCCACTCACCCTGCACTGCTGCTCGTACTCATTTCTCATCTGTGTCAGCCTCTCTTCTTGCAGAAAGAATTCAGCACTGCTGGGGTCGAGGTCACCAAACTGGAAGGTGAAAAGGGCAAAAATGTCATTTTTTCCAAGTGCCCTTCTTTGACCTAAAACATAGCAAAGGCCCCAGTTTCTGGTGTTCACCCAGTCTCTGGAGAATGACAGGAATGTGACATTTAAGCAGAAACACCACCAATTGGATGACAGGGAGAACATTCTGAAGCGATGTGCTCAACCAAGGCAGGGAGCGTTTCTCAGTGCCACGCAATGTTTTCCATCATAAGCAACCTACTAAATTATATCCCTGCAAAAGTTGCCCAAACAATCCCCCAATAAAAATGTTCTCCGTGGCATTGCTTCTGCTCTGTAGTGTAAACTATGCTGTGGGCTACCTATCAGGAAATCAGATTCACACAGATTTACCTTTTCTGCTAACACATTTTCCAAATTTTTCTGAAGTTTGTTTGTCAGATTCTCATACTCTGCCAACTTCTCTGCATTTTCCAGAAGCTCATTTTCCAGACGACTGTTTTCCTGAAGAAATTTGTGGAAATTAAAAGTGGCACAGGCTAAGAAATAAGCAAATCGTACTATTTTATATATGGCTTAAATCAGTGCTCTAGATTAAGAAAAGTTGTCCATCTTGAAATCTGTAATAGACTAGAGGAGAAAAAAAGTTCTATCTTATAACAAAAACAAAGTTTGCCCTTTTTTTGATCCTGTTGAACTGGGCTGTCCAATATGGTAGCCACTCGTAGCCACGTGTGGATAGTGAGCACTTGAAATACGTCCAGAACAACTGAAATGTGCTGTAAGTGTAAAATACACACCAGATTTCAAATAGCACAAAAATGTAAAATAGCTCAGTAATAATTTTTGTACACTGATTACATGTCAAAATGATAATGTCTTGGACCTATTGGATTAAATAAAATGATTTCAATTAATTTCACTTGTTTCTTTTCACCTTTTAATGTGGCTATGTGCAAATTTGAAATTGCATATGTGGCTTGCATTACATATCTATTAGCATTGCATAGAATATTTGATGACATGAAAATATTCTCAATATATAGTATTGTCAAATAAAAGTGGTTACAAAATACCTTGTTCAGCTGCCTGCAAAAGAGAAGTCAAAGAGAGGACAAAAAGTAGAGTAACTGTAAAATCAATGTGCTGATATTACATTACAGTTTGGTTTATATTTAATTTATAAATTTATTTTGGTTTAAAGATATAAAAGCTACCCATGTAAGTTGTTAATAATTTGTATATGTTTAAGTTATTATAATAAAATAGCCCATCAAATGGAACCCACAGGTTTTTTTCCATTTAAAAGGATCTGTATATATAGTACTTTTTAGAAAAATTTCCACCCACATTTGTTGAAACATACACAAAGAGACATGCCATTGGACATATTTTCTTCTCCACCATTAAAGGATGATTGGAAGAACATTATTTTCAAAGTACACTTTGCCAAAAGAACACAGAGCCAATGTATTTTTAATATATTCTAGTTCACACTCTCATATGACAACATACAATAAAAAAGAATGTACATGAGGTATTTAAAAAAATACCACTCACCCTAAAATGCCAATTCTATAACTCTTAACTTTTCAAAGTATATCTAATTTCCATGCGAAAATAATATGGAGTGATCTCTGTGTATCAGGCACTGTGCTGGTTGCCTTGGAAACTGAGAAATTGGATACTGTTACTGATCTCGGGGAGGGGGACAGATGTGGATACAACTATCTATGACCCAACAGGAAATGCACCATCCTCTGGCAAGAAAAAAGTAAATGTAATGGGAATGAAAAAGTAATTTGGCCTGCAGTGCTGGGGAAAGCAGTGAAGGAGCATAAAAGTGCTCTGCCCCTCACCCCAGAGGAACTGAGAGAAGTGAGGGGGGTGGTGACTGGACAACAAACGCTGGGTGTTGCTGGGAGGACCTAAGGTTTGAAAGGTATGGGGACAAACCCCCTTTTAAAGGGCCTTGACTACTAACACACTGGGGCTTATTTTTTTTGCAAAGAGTAACAGCATGATTGTAACTGATCGTGATCATAGTACAGTAACTTTGATAGCCATACTGGGGTAGGAGAGAGGGAGGAAAGGACTTTTCAGGATGCACGTTAACCAGCTGAGAAATCCCGATGAATTCTGAACCTAATTAGAGGCTGGGGAGACAGAGTGGAAGGGGATAAATCTGAGAGGCGTCTTGGAGCATCAATGACACTTAGAGACTGACAAGCAATGACAACTGAGGATTTAGCTTCTGGGACTTATAGCATATGGTGATGATGCTGATTAGGGAGAACATTCCGGAGATGAAGCAGTTGGATGGTTAGGGAGTGATAATTAGTTTTTGATATGTGGCGGCATTTCAGGAACCTTTCATAGTAGCAACAGTAGCAAACATTTTAAACATGTACTCATTACTTTCCAGACATTATGGATGCATGCATTGTGGCATTTAGTCCCCACATTGATGCTATAGGGTAGGTATTATTATGGTGCCCGTTCTGCACATTAGGAAATAGGCTGAGTAACCTGCTCAAGGTTTCCCAGGAAGTGGTGGTACCCAGATCTGAACCAGGCAGCCAGACTCCACGGCCCCGGCACCATACCATACGGTGTCAGAGTCCAGTAAAGAGAAGGACCACTTCCTCCATGGGGGCACAAGAAAAAAGGAGGATGTAAGAGAGAAAAGGCACATTTGGAGGCCACGAGAAACACACAGGCCTCTGTGTGGCAAGAGCAAGGCCATCTGCTGAAAGTGATGGGGGTTGCGACAGGCAAGGGGAAGGAGACTCAAGGTGAGGGGCAGGTTTGGAAGAGCAGCTGAGAACTAGGGTGTCAGCCAGGTGCCAAGCAGCCCCGAGGACCCAGTGTGCCTGCAGGGGATAAGAACAACAAGGTATGCTCATCAACACTGTCGGCACACAGAGCCTGGGTCCCCCTGAAATCCAGACACTAGCGGGGGCCCTGCCGCGTCTGGGTCAGGAGCCAGCTGGGCAAACTTACAGCAATTCTTGGACTGAGCCCGGCGCAGACTTGCCCTCTTACAAAGCTGAAGTTTTCCATGTGCTGTTGCCAGCAGGGACACAGACCACAGAACTAATAAGATGATTACCTTTAAAGAGAGGGCAAGGCGGTCCCGGATGTAGTTCTCTTCTGTTTTTGCCTTTTCAATTTCCTGCTCAAGTTCGGACCGCTGCTTGCCCATCTGTTGCATGATCTGCTCTCTCTCTTTGCGGAGTTCATTCTTCAAGGCTGCTATTCGCTCTTTGTACTCTTCGTCCAGTTTCCTGCGGGGAAGAAAAACCAACAACTGCCACCAAGTCCCTCACAGGTCTCTGTATTGATCCGCCAGAAACAGAAACACAGAGTCACAGAGAGGGTGACCACCCTGCGACGATATCTGGTGTGCCCTGCTTTCCCTCAGGGCATGGCCACACCTAAATCACTCCAACCGGGTGTGGCCAACCAGGCAGGCCGGCAGAGTCCCCCATGCTCTGTTCTGGCCCTGCCGCTGCAGGTGCCACTGCCCTAGACCAGGGTGGCGGGAGAGGTCGCACCTGAGATTGTACTCATTCCGCCGCTCTATGGCCGCGTGGTGATCGTCCACCTCGGAGGCCATTAAGGACTTGAGCTTCTCAGCCTTGTCCAGATCTGACCGTAGCTTCTCTTTTTCTCTGACCACTTGATCAACTCGTTCCCTAGAATCAGAAATACACTGAGTCAATGGGAAACTGTTTCTGAGCAACAAGTAGACCCAAGAAAGCTCTCATGTGGCTTGCTTCAATACAAAAACACAACCAAGACAACCCAAATTCTCCCAAAACATAAAGACATGCCACCGTTCCCTTCAAAAGCCTATGTGTCAATCTAAGTTCTACTTCATTTTCCAAAAATTTAAGGAAGATTTTGCAGTAGTTAGATGATGGAAGATTAGCCACATTTGAATGCAGAACATTTCTCGAAGGCCTTGGAGTGACTTGTTGGACGAGGAGGAAACAGAATAGAGCAGGTGAACCTTCTGCTCAACTCACAACAAATGCCGGATCTCAGCCTTAAAGCTGGCCAGAGCCGCCTGGTGAATGCCGTTCTTGGTGACCAAAAGTTCATTTTCAAGAGCCAGCGTCAATTCCGTCAAGTTGATGTTTCCGTCAAGGCTGAAATCCAAGGCCTAGAAATCAGAACAAGGCAAAGTTCAAGGCATATCAGTAGTTCTAGCCTCTGTAGGCAGAAAATATGAAGTTTATGCAAACTCAGAGAACTGAAGATAGTCTAGAAATTGGACGAACACATTTATTTAGTGATTGCTTAGGAACAACCTCCAATCTAGAACATAACTAAGTTCTAAGGGAAGCATAACATGGCTATTTGCATTTAAAAAAAGAAATACCATCCAGTGCCATCCATAAATTAACACAATGGTATATAGCTCCAGTCTTTACCAACCAAAGAACATTTCTTATGTCAATAATTTGGGAGTTAAAAACATGGAAAGTACTTAGCAAAAAAAGGCTCCTAGTTAAAGGGGATAAATAAAAGTACCTCATATTTCTGAGATCTTGTGAACAGACAAAATCATTAAGGAGAAATCAAATCAAATGATAGTGTTAAAAAAAAAATGGAAAAATTTCAACCCTTCCATGGTTTGTCATTTTTTTCACACATTTTATTATAGCTCCCTCACCTTCAGGATCTCCTGGCTGTTCTCGATGCCCTCTTCTTGCCAGGTGTCAAGTATTCTCTCCACAGATGCGTGGCCCATGCCATCGTCCAGGCAGGAGAAGACCCGGAAGCCAGTGGTACTCGTCATTGCCAATGGGATGGTGGTGCGCCGTCCACTCTCGTCGAAAGACTGGAAGAAGAAGGAGACTTGAACAAACTTAGCTTGACTCCAGACATTTCGACAAGATGTAGGTCAAGACCCAAGCTGGTTAGTCTGACCACAAGGGGCACAAGACATGTTTCTCTAATTTACACTGCTAGGGGAAAAAAAAAGTCACGCAGTCTCTTTGATGTCTGTTGCCGAGTGAGTCAAGCCTGCAAAGCTTATCAAAAACAACTGTTCTGGCAGACAGCTCTTTCACATAGGCGAAATATGTCTCTACTTAACACCAGGTTTCTTTTGACCCAGAGCTGACATTAAGAGGCATGATTAGTGGCCTTCCCACTCGGTAATTTATGGTCATTTCTCAAATCCACCCTTTCCTTTCTAATGGTTTAGTCTTTCTTATTCTTTCTTTGCTCTGCTTGCTTTCCTTAGTATTTTGCTTCAGACATCAGATTAACTCATTAGAAATTATTCAAATGAGTTCTAACCTTTACTCACAAAGGAAACATTTCCTGTTTGTTTCTCACCTGCATGGAGAGGTGTCTTTTCAGTTGTCTATATGGAGTAGATGCTGATGGTGTAAGGGATTTTCCATTTTTAAACAAACCATAGAAAAAATCTTCCACACTCATTGTACCATCGGGATCAAGATTATGGAATACTTCCTCAAGCATCTAGAACACAGTAATCACATATTTTAAATACTTCACTCAAAATAACACAAGGCCCAAAGTACATTTCTGGCCAATAGAAATCAGCACCACTGTTAATCCCAGGATTCCAGAAATATAATTATGTCCCTTTATTTGCATTTCACTGAATTTATTTCCCTTTCCAGTAATGCTATGTGCTCCCCCTTCCTACAAATAAAGTCCATTTCAACATCTTCATAATCCTATGCAATTTAGCAAATTAATTTCTTTTACTCATGCTCCTGCAACAATCTTTAATATTGCTACACATTATTCTTACAAATAAAAAAATTGGCCCGGTGCAGTGGCTCACGTCTGTAATCCTAGCACTCTGGGAAGCAGAGGCAGGAGGATCACTTAAAACTAGGAGTTCAGCCTGAGCAACACAGTGAGACCCTGTCTCTACAAAAAATAGAAAATTGGCCAGGTGTGGTGGTACACACTTGGTCTCAGCTATTGGGGAGGCTGAGGCAAGAGGATCGCTTAAGCCTAAGAATTTGAAGTTGCAGTGAGCTATGATAACGTCACTGCACTCCAGCCCAGGCAACAGATAGAAACCCTGTCTCGAAAACAAAAAATTACTTTAAAAATATATAGCTTCCTTGTATCATCATAATAGAAATTAGCTGATGTTTATGATGCCTCTATATTGTGGTGACTCTAAGTGACATTTTGTTTACATTGAATTTCTGAAGTTGGTATGGTAGCACGGCAGAATTTGGTCTGGGACAGATGGTAATGATCTAAAAGTTTGGGCCTGAAACCTATAACTTGGAGTTTAGAACCTTACTTGAAATAACACTGCATCTACTGGGTTTTCGTTTTAATGCTTTAGCACAGGAGAAACAAAGATTGGGTGAAAAGGATTTTATGTGTGTGTGTGTACAATAAGGGATCCAAGAGATGTAAAGATGAGGGAGTCCTGATTGGCTATTTTGCACCCCCTGACAATAATCAAGTGGTCCCCAGCATGGAACAGGGGAAGGGGAGACTGTGCTACTGCGCCATCTAGAGGCTTGCCTGGAAACGGGTTGCTCCCGAGCTCCACAGAGGCGTGGGCAGGGGAAGGGTGCAATGTCAATCACACAACAGGGAGGAAAGACAAACACCTCTCGCTGGCAGTTGGAGTCCTCTTTATTTAGGGGGATAAATTTTTCCTGTAGAAACAAGCCTCCAATGTACAAAACAGAAATCACCAGATATCTTGTCAGAATGTAGACTTGCACATAGTAAGTCTGGCAGTGGGGCCTGAGACTCACATTTCTAACAAGCTCCTGGGTGACGCCCATGCCACTGAGTAGCAAGGAGACAGAATAAGTAACAAATTTACTCTTGTGGCATTAGATCCTATGATTGGGTCCCTTCTAATAGAGGCCTCAATTCGCTTAACACATTCTCAAATTTTTGATATTTATTCCATAAATCTGGACTACTGCTAGGATTTACGTCATCTCATGATTGGTTTTATTCATGTAAGTGCTTGAGGCAGCTGTTTTTATCTCAAATGCTTTTTTCCAATTCCACTCAATCGGAAAGGTCTGTTTCCATTCCTGCTTTTATATTACAAACAAGAAAACCATTCCAAAGAGGAGAAATCTTTGGAAGAAGCAATAGTTCCTAATAGAGAATCCTGTGGTCAAATCAATGGAAAAGTATTTGGGCAAGATACTGAGGTTGCCAAGATCCCTTTTGCTTTTCTTTCTTGTTCTTATCAACCAAAACAACACTCCCCCCCCCCCCAGAGGACAAGACTTTCAGGACCATCAAACCAGAAGGTATGGGACAATCCAGGTGTCCTGATTGAAGTTAGCAAGGTAACAGTTTGGCTCTAACATTAGGTCCACGCTGCCTGACCTTATGACCTTGGCCAAATCCGCACACAGCTTCCAGACGGCCTTAAACACCCATCACCTGGCCCATTCCAGGTGGTGGAGCAGGTGGGCCCTGCCATTTATTTCAGATAGGGGAGTGGGCAAGCGGTGAATAAAACGGTATAGATTCAGAACAGGGTGGATGGGCAGGGTGAGGCAAAAAAGAATGCAGGCAAAATGGGCAACCAGGAGAACCCTACCCTCTGGAACAGGAGCTGCCTCTAGAACAGGAAGGGCATTCTCACTCCCTGTGACACTCGGGCCTGGTCTGTGGTTGGCTGGTTTTCCGATGTGTAAGGTGGGAAATGATGCACCAGAATAGGGATCACAAACCCGAATACCCAGAGAGGCTGGAAGGTGATGTAAAGGAATGAGGCAGGATGGTTTTAAGACAGTGGAAAGTAGCAACTGTTGGCAAACTGAACACAGACCTGCACGCCCTCTCCAATGGAGCTAGCTGCCCGTCTCGCTGCCTGCAAAATGGAGCCAAATCTTGGATTTTTTTTTTAAACTCTTGATTTTAAAAAGTGTAGCAGTGAGTTCAATTTTTAAAACATTAGACAAGCCAAATAAAATAGACTTTGGGCCAGATTTGGCATCAAGGAGGCTAGTTCGCCATCCCTGACCTGTTGTTATTCTTGTTTCTGGGAAGCAGAGTTCCAGTTATAGGCAAAAGATAGTAAATCTATTTCCCCTGCATGAAAACATGCAGCAGCTGTGATCTCACTTTCTTTATCTATAATATGAGGCAGTGACTAAATCTAAAATTGCTTTTGGTTGTAAAATTTTAGGATTCCAAGTTTATGTTAATGAGATCATCTTGAACTTCCAGCTCCTCTGTGGTTTAGAGCCGATAATAATAAGTACTATAGTATTTCACAATTGTTCTTTAGGAGGAAAAACACTCAGCGGAAGCTATATTCAATAAACAATCCTTTATTCAGCCTCAGGCCAGAGAAAAATAACTAAAGGTACTACTTCTTTTCCTGGGTTTTGGAAACTCCACCACAGAAGAAAACGCAGCTCCCCACAAATGGCTGTAGTTTAACAGCTTATTCCAAGAATTGGTTTTAGATAAATAATCCAAGTTTGTGCAATATTTCTTGGCAAAAACACCCCAAGGGTTCTGCATATTGCACTAGTTTATAATTTAGGAGGATGAATTTAATTTTATGACTCAACAGCCACGACTGAAAAATAAGTTACCCCTGAGCCATTAAAAAGGTAGTCAAAGGGTGTGTAACAGTCACATAGACAAGAGAGAAGGGAAGGGGGAAAATCTTTTCTGTGAGCCAGGTTACTTGGAAGCTTTTGATGATTAAACTCTTTCTTGCTTAGGAAAATAATACCACTTATCCCCAGAGCAAGCAGATAGCATAGTTTCAAATATCATTATAATCAAAGATTCCCAAAGCTACAACTATAGCCCTAACCTCTCTCCAATTCTCATTTTCAGCTCACTGAAAGACATATCTTGGAATTATTTATAGTCTCACATTTCACAGCTATTCAGTCCTGCTAGTTTGCCTCTTAATGTTTCAGAAGTTCTGAAGTTCAGAGTTTTACCAAGGAAGAGTCTTTTAGGGGCTCCTTCAAAACAAGAATATTGTAATGGCTCCTGGCTGATCTATGTAACCCAAGGTTCTCTTCATGCCAACATGTAAAAGCAGCTCAGACTATCCTCAGCAAGTACGTTTCTCCTACACTGTGCTCAATCTGCTTATGAACCCAGGGATGATATTGAGATCTTCTTTCCAGAAACCTAAATTTATCAGACTGCCTTCAAAATACTCACCCAACTCAAATCTACTGAACTGCTTGCTCAATTCTTCCTCTATACTTTTCCCACATTTTATTCTGTGAGTGACACTAATGTCTGACAGTTTCACATGGGGCAACATGCTTACTACAATGAGGGGCACGTAGTATGGGCTCAGTAAGTGTCAGTTATTGTCAGTTTTTCTTTTCCACAGCACAGCAAGAGCTCCTCAATGACAGAATCTTCATGAATGACTTCCCAGGAGGGGAAAAAAATGACATTTAACAAGCTATGGGAAGCCATGATATGATTGTTCTTAGTCTGTGGCTGGGGAAGGTCTTATCATCATTATTATTCCTAAATAAAATATGCTGCAAGACTTACCTCTCCATCAATATTCTGCAAACCATACTGCTCACAGATGGAGACCAGCTTCTTTCGGTTCAGGTGACCATCACGGGTGATCCCCAAATCTTCACAAACTTCTTGCAGTTTCTCTTCTATCCAGTCTTGGGGAGGGGAAGACCCGCTCTGCGAGGCATTCAAATCATCTGGGTTCCAAAACCTTAACTGGCCTGAGATCAAAGCATATGTTGCGTTGTCTCCAAAAGAATTGCAAAGAGAGACTGCCTATTCTCAAAGAAAAATGTGCTTTTTGAGAATAAATATTACAAGAAAAAGGCAATAAATGTTGATTCCATTTTCATTTGGCCCTGAAGCTCTACTGAAATGGAACCATTGGTTCTTAGGCTGCAACTAGAGCCAAAAGGCACCCTATGGCTCTCCGGCAGTCATACCTAGGGAAGAAATATTATCTCCTGTGCAATACTGCAAAGTTCTAGGTTTTTTAAAAAATCCCAACTGAGAATATCACAAGCTTAGGCTGTAGTTTGATCATAAGAGAAGGCTGGTTGAGAGCCATTCTAAAGAGCTCTATGATCTTTGCCTCAACTATAGCTGCCAGACTGAATTATCTCCACTTTCTTTCTAGTCTAAGTACTAGAGAATCTTTTACTGAGAAGGAAATAATTTCATGATGAAAGTCTCAAGATTAGCCTGTTCCCAAATCTTTACATATGGATATTCTGACATACAGAAACCAAACAGTCCAACTTGAAAGAATAAATGACTGTCAACTACAAGTTCCCAATTATATATTAAAGATAAACTCTATTTGAAGACTTAAAGATCAAACTACTTATTTAAAAATCAAAACTGCTTATTTATCCTCTACTAAAACTCCCAGCTTCTAAATTTTCTACTTACATATTAGAGAGTCTATAAAGTCATCACTTAACCATGAAATAATTCCTGGCACAAATTTGTGTGCCTGGAAGAACCTTGGAGGGTTGAAAGGAGTTTCAGTGCTACTCGTACTATTTACTGACAGAAATTAAGCTTATTACTGCTGTGTCTTTCAGGCTGGAGACCTAAGAACGCATTGTACTATAATTACGCCTAAGTACAGTTGATCCCAAGCAGGCTGTGAACGGGACTGAGGTTATGTCAGCTGATCCACAGCGCCATCTGGTGGCCAGAGGATCAACATGTTCTGATGCTTCTTAAATACATTTGAAACTTGTCAAGGGATGCATTTCATTAATAATAGGTCACTATTTAGCTTAGGACTGTTTGCAAATAAATTTGAAAGTCTGGATAAGAGAGTAATTAGCTCATAATTACGCATCTTAATTGTCATTTCCTCCATGATGTTAAATCCTAGGACTTTAAGAGCTATCTATCAACTGGGAATGAATTTTTTGTTGCTGTTGTTCTTAAAGTTAGTTCCCAGCTGGCCTCCAACATCAGAAATGCAGGCAGCTGGGGTGTGAAGACAGGCCTCTGAATGCAACCCCTTCCCTTCCTGGCAGGTCCTGAGACACACTCAGCTCTTACCTTCCGCTTCATACTCCTCACTGTGTTGGGTCTTCCAGTGCTAGAGAAGGCAAGAGAAGATCAGCGTGCTTTAGAACTTATTCATAAAGAACTATCCTAGCTTTTCCTAGACCAGATCACTCGCGGCCTTGGAAATCATCATTTGAGAGAGTCACAAGATTTCAGGACCCTCTCGTGTTTTATTCAAATGGTTTCTCTTCAGTTAACCCCCAATCAAGAGAAGAGACTCCTAAGAAATACCACACAGCTTTCCACAGTACTTCACCAAGGATTTGTCTTTTTCATTTGCAGAGTCACATATTCAACAGCAAAACCCATCACAATCGATTAAACCAAGCCAAAGCAAATATTCAGAATCCTTCAACCAACAAGGATTATGCATGCATTTATGAATTTGTTTGAGCTAGGTACTGTGCATGTTTCCTAATTCAAGAAGTTTATATGCTAATGAAGACGTGCAGACAAATAATCAGGAAGCACAACAAGGCAGTGTTTTCAGTGCTATGATAAGGAAGTTCAGGATGGTATGTGAGTACCTAAATGGGATGCTTCAGACATGGTAGATCAGCATATACTTCTTGGAAGAAGCAATATCTAAACTGAAGGATACACTGCAGAGAGCCAAGTGAAAAAAAGAAAGCAGTTATAATTTGCTGAAGCAAAGAGGCAAGAATGATCCTGGTATGTTTGTGGTACACTGAGGAGAGAGATGCAACCCAAAACAAGTGGGCTAGAAGCACGAGTTACATAAAACATACATTACCAACAAATTACAAGTAGTGAAATTTATCTGAATTGGACCATTTTGTCCCCTTATCATGCTACATTCCTACTGGGTTTTCTCCAAGGTCACAACATACAGTTGTGGGCAAAAGTGCCCAGCCAAGGGCACAAGTCAGGACCAAAAATCCAGTCCTTGCTCCACTGGCCAAGCATGGTACAGGTCAGGTCCCAGCCATTGACAGCAAGTAGGTCCACAGTGGCTTTGGCCTCTCCAGCGGGCTGCCCCGTCACTGCTACTGGGAGGTCCTACAACCACTGAAGGAAACCACATTGAGAAAAGGTGAATCCCCCTTCCAAAACAGGGCTGCCGTCTTAGCAAAGAACCAATTTTATGAATGAAGCTGCCTTTGATAAAAATCCAGCCCATTCTCTGAGATGTCTGAACTATACGAGACTAGTTAATATCTAGTTATATGAGCTGAAGTCTTCTTTTAGGCAACCTAATCTCATCTACTTTATTCTCCACACCCACTTGTGGTAGTTCTCTCCTCTTAAACGAGGAATAACCATCTACCACAATTTCCCAGCTCCACATTTTACTTAGAAAGATACTGAAGATAGCACCAATTCAGAGAGTTCACCTTATTTGGCCACACTAAACTGAAACCCCAAACTGACAATGCTGAAGTGGATTATTTTAGCATATAGAAGGCACCAAAAGGCCATAACATAAAATGTGTAGGTTCACTATAATTCATTCAGATTACAACTGAAAGTCACTAATAAACATGGTATTAATGAAAACTGAATTAGGACACAGTGTGATTTTTGCTTATTTGTTTCTGACAATTTCATCAGATCATTCAAGCCCACGTTTCTACATAAAGACGGATCTTGCAACTAGTAGATGTATGAGGCACGGTGGGTCAGGAAGAAGTGGTAGAGTACACAGCCCTCCATAAATTTTGTTACATTATCATTTCTGGCCAGAATTTCACTGGTATTGTATAAGAAAGATTAAATCAATAAAGTCTCACTAATAAAAACATCTTGTCTGTCTGCCCCTCCACATTTATTTCTCTATCAGAGCAGATGATTTAAATGCTCATGCTACTTTGGCATCCAAAATTGTGAAAATTTATTATTTAGCATAAGTTGGAAACATCCTAGAATTAAATCTATTAAGAACATCTACAACACATAAAATAGGGTTTTATGGTTTAAGAACCATTGGTCAAAATAAATCCTACCAAATCACAAGGAATGATTTTTAATAGCAGAAACTGATGGGAGAAACGGCGGGAGAGTATGTTAACACTGGACCCAAACCATGAAGACAGCCCAGCTGGGCAGACAGTTGTAAAAATGCAACACAAACACATACCTTCAAAAAAAATCCTTGATAATTACTAAAGCAACAAGGTGAATATATTGTTACATAAAAGTTTCTTACATTTGCTCACTTACTTCTCCATTTATTTTAAAATTGTGAGCAATGGTTCAGAGAACCAAGATACAGAGATACACTGTTTCCAACCTTTCACGAGTCTATGGGACTAAGGGCATGTTGCTGGTTCATTCTCTAGGACAGTACTTCCCTGCTGCCTTCTTTCCTGAATTTTTACTACTAATTAATAAGAGATGGAGTGTGGAGGCTCCCACACAGACTCGGGAACCAGAGTACGTGCACTGAATCCTGCCTTCCCTGACAGGTTGGCCTTCGCCAAGTTTCTTGACCTCTTTTGCCTCAGGTTCTCCACCTATAAAATGGAAATAAAGTTGTGCATATTTCTTAGAGTTGTGATAAAGTGCTTAGAATTGTGCCTGGCGCATTATAAATTCTATTAAATTTTGTTATTTTTATTGGACATGTGTCTATGTAATATATTAAAATTGTAATATATTAAAATATATTAAATTTATATTTGCACAATTTTTTTATTACTACGTTTAAACTTAAAGGGTTCATTTGAGTAGGCCTGGGGAGGTATCCAGTATGCATATAAATTTGTAAGAAAGATGCCAAGTCTCCAGCACATAAGCCAAGAACACAGACAATTCACATAAGAGGCAACATAATTAAACAAATATGGGGAAAGATTCCTCTCAACAGCAATCAAGGAAGTATAAAGTAAAACCAAAGAGTCATTTTTTCCTATTAAATTAGCAAAGTATTTAAGATATGACTCCTACTCTCATCAAGGTTATGATTTAAAACAGGCCTGTTTATATATTACTGGTAACAATGTAAATGAATATTATTCTTTTAGTAAGGAAAATGGCTTTATGTATCAAAAGCAATAAAAAATGTTCATACTCTTTGACCCAATAATTTCACTTGATATCCAAATGCCATAAAATCGAACAAAAACACCATATGTATAAATGTGTATTGTAGCACTTTTTGTAACAAAGTATTGATAACAATTTAAATATTCGACAATGGGGCATAAAATATAATGAATGGTACATCATAATGTAGTCAAAAACCATGTAGGAACATGGAAAAACATCTCATGAAACATTAAATGAGAGACCACAACACAAATATTCTCTCTACTCTGATTACCATGGCAAAAATATTTGTACGATTAGACACAGACTGGAAGGAAATAGAGATAATAAAAATAGATGCATTTTGGTTCGTGGACTATGAGAGACAATTTTATTTCCTTTCCTGTTATACATGTTGTTTATGCAATACAAACAGGTACGATTTTCACTATTTCCTTTGCCCACCTGCCCTCAAATTCTCACTAAATTAATTTCCTATGACTGGTGTGGGGATAAAGGTACTTTGGTAAGTACCTCTCTGCGATGTCAGCACCATCCTCCTGCACCGTGACAGCTGGAGACAGTCGGGTGGGAAGACCTGGTGCTGCTCAGGTGAGCGAATGTTCCCGATGCCAGTGCCTGCTGACTTGGCGGAGTCTGGCAAGATCAGGGACACGTGTCTGAGACCCGCCTTCCTGAGACAGTCCAACACAACAGCGTCAGGTCGGGCACAGCCTCCTAACCCCCGGGGCAGCACTTGTACCTGCACCTTAAGTGATTTCACACAAATCTTAAGGCAAGTGGGGGGGGGCAGGGTAAGGGATAACTTAAGCATAGTACTGGTTTCCCAAGCATTCCTCCCATGACCTTTGTAAGAAACACAGACCCAGCTGGACCGCCCTGCTGAAAGGAGAAGCCAGCTTATGCTAATGGTTACATTTTCAGTCCATTGGAGATGGAGTTTACCACCCAGATAGGATATAGGCTATGCTTCTTCCTCCTCTCCACCAAGGGTCTGTTCCTTTAGTAAGAGGGAGGTAAGCACATGAGGGCTGAACATTTGTTATTAAATTGCAATTTCGAGAGGTGGGTGGGGGGAGATTCAATTCGTTCACAGCTCATTTATTTTCATTCTCACTGCCTGGAGCCAGCAGTTCTAATTAAAAAGCAGGGAGAAGGAGGGGAAGGCAGGTTAGAAGGTTGGGGGGATTAGATCATTCAGCTACCGGACCACCACCAATGAAAGGAGCCATCTTTCTGGAAGAGGGTCCTGTCATTGCAGAGGGCATACCCAGTGGCAGCCTGGCAGGTGGCCTCAGACCAGATCTGCCATGAGCACTGGAAGGGACAGAATCATGAAAATCTTTGGGAAAGTAGGGGAGCAAGGGAGGGACGACTGCTGGGATGTGTTCACAATACTAAATTCATGAGAAAGGATTTTTAATTTCTTCCCTTGAAATGTATGTAGCCTCTCACTGGAGAAAGAATGGATATTAATACCTATAAAAACCATCCTGTGGAACTTCAGCCCCCTTAACTCAGGAGGCACAGTTGCAGAGGGGTAAGCACAGGGTGTGGCAGGCAGACTGTCTGGGTTAGGTTTGGCTCTACCATGTTCTGTGACCCCTCAGTGCCTCACTTTATCTGCAAAGTGGGGATGACACTCCTACCTACCTAATGGGACATGGAGGCATATACTTGGCACTTAGGAAACCTTAGCTGTTGCTATTGTTTCAGCCAGAACAATGAAGTAGTTAGGGGTCTGGACTCCACAGCCAGAGTCCATGAGTTTAATTTCAGCTCCACCACTCACTGGCAACGTGACCCTGGGCAGGACACTTAACCTCTGTGTACCTCGGTTTCCTCATAGGTAAGTGAATAATACCACCTACCTTTGAGGGTGTGATTCGTATTTGTAAAGCACTTAGGATAGTGCCTGCTAAGTGCTAAGTATTTGTTAAGTAAATAAATATTACAATTACTATTCTTACTACTTGGATGTTCAAAACTAGGACAATGGTAGAAGAAACAGCAGACAGGTAA